TACATATTTATTTTTATTATTCTTTAAAAAAGGATATAGAGAGATTTCTTGTTAAATAATAATAATTAAAATAAAAAAGAATAGAGTTAAAGTAAAAAAATATATTTATTTATTTTATAATATAAAAATAACAATTAATTTAAAATAAAAAACAATTATTTTAAACAAATGGAATAAAATTTTAATAATAGAGATTTAATTACAGCTAAGTACTACGGATTAGCAAAATGATTTCCCTCAATAAGAATTTTCTTTTCTTAATGAAAGAAACCGGTAAGATTTTACATCAATGTCTTAATTTTGTTGAAAATGTAACAATAATTAATTAATCGAAATAAAAGCAGGAGAAAAAAGAACAACCTGCTCCTAATTAATGGCATGAGTTTTGAGTAAAGATGATTCATTTACGTAGGTGACGTGTTTGATTTTTATAATTTTTTATAATTATTTAATATTTAATATATGTAAATAATTTTAATTTATTAAAAAAAACTGCAAGAAAGAGAAAGTGGAGAGAGAGTGTGTGAGAGCAGACTGACGTCATACCCAGCCCCACACACAGATGACAGATGCGACCAAAAGCGAATCCTCCCCTCGAATATTCATTATTCATTTTTCTCTCTCCTTCATAAATCATTCTCTTTCTTTTATTATTACTATTATTATTAATATTATCTCTCACACCACCCAAACATGAAGATTCCTTTTATTATGCGACGCCCCGACTTCGACATTTTTCTTTCTTCTCTCTAATTTTTCTCTCTAATTCTGAATTTACCTTTTTTTTTTCCCTTTTTTCTTGATTCCCAAGTTTATTCCTTTTTTAGGTCCTGATTCTATTTAGATCCCTTATTCTTCCTTCATCCACTCTTCCCCTCTTTCCTTCCTTTATTCCTTTCCTTTCCTTTCTTCGGATCTATCTATCTATGCTCCCCTCCAAATCCCACCGCCTTCTTTTATTATTTCATCCACCCGTCAACCGTCTCTACGACCTTTGTGTCCCGAACTGACAGTGTTTTTAGTGAAAGGAAGGGAATGATGGAGATGGGTTGTGCCCAGAAAATGAAGATCAGGTGTCACGACTATGTCGAGGCTTTAGAGGAAGAACGAAGAAAGATTCAGGTCTTCCAGCGTGAGCTTCCTTTGTGTTTAGAGCTTGTCACGCAAGGTATATATATGCAGCATTTCCTATTTTTGAAAAAAAAAAATTTTGAGGGGTTGTTCTGTTTTGTGGTGTCAGGGTTTGCTGATTTCTGGGTTTTTTTTTTTTTTTTTTTTTTTGAAGCGATTGAGACTTGCAGGAGAGAACTGTCCGGTTCGACGACGACGGAGTACGTGCATGGAGGGCAATCGGAGTGCTCAGAGCAGACATCGAGCGACGGGCCGGTTTTAGAGGAATTCATTCCGATCAAAAAAGGATCTTCATCTGAGGAAGATGAGCAAGAATCGCATAAGCCCGATAACAATATTAAGGAGAAGAATGGCGATAAGAAGAAATCTGACTGGCTTAGATCTGTTCAGCTTTGGAATAATCAATCCCCAGATCCACCGTCCAAAGAGGTATCCAGAAGTTACCTTTTTTGTTTTCTTGCCTTTTGAATCTAAAATAAATGAAAGATAGAAAAAAAAGGCAAACTGGAATTTTTTTTGCTTCCACAGGATGCGGCTAAAAATGGGGGTGTAGTGGAGGTAAGGAGAAATGGTGGTGCGTTCCAGCCGTTCCACAGAGAGAAAAATGGGGACAAGAGTGTTCCCTCAGTTACGAAACCGACTGCATCTGTTCCGGCTACAGCAACAAGTTCTACAACAGAGAACCGTACTAAAGAGAGCAATGGAAACATCAAAAAGGAAGAGAAAGAAGCTCAGGCGTCGAGGAAGCAGAGGCGGTGCTGGTCGCCGGAGTTGCACAGACGGTTCTTACACGCCCTCCAGCAACTCGGTGGTTCAAATGGTTAGTTAATTAATTAAGCTTACATGATCGTAATTTAATTTGGGATATGTTTTTGATTGTATGGTTATGGGATTGGATTAAATTGTTCTTTCAATGCATATTTTGATTCGAGGATCGTAATTGATTTTTATTGCAGCGGCCACGCCAAAGCAAATTAGGGAGATAATGAAGGTTGATGGACTTACAAATGATGAAGTGAAGAGCCATTTGCAGGTTTGGAAATTTTCTTTACTAAATCATTCATAAGAATTTGGGTTTTGGTATGTTTAATTTGGATTTAGGAATTGCTGCCATTACATGTTATTATATCTTCATTAACCTTTTTGGGGAAGAGTATTGGATTAGAAACACACTTAGGATATCAAAATTAAGATGGTAATCTATCATATCTGATGTAAGAATGGAAGTAAGAATATTAGTCTGAAACTGACATTTGTTTTATCTGTTTCAGAAATATAGATTGCACACAAGGAGACCAACTCCAACCGTCCATAATAATGGCAACCCACAACCCCAATTTGTAGTGGTCGGAGGAATCTGGATGCCGCCACCCGAATACGCTGCAATGGCTACAACAACAGCATCAGGGGAAACAGCCAGTGTGACTCCAACCAGTGGAATTTTCACACCAGTGGCTGCACCAATACCCACAGTTCCCCAGACAGCAGGAAAATTAGTGAAAAGACCACAACCAACACAATCTGAAGAGAAGGGCAGCGGTAGTGAAGGGAATTCACCAGCTTCATCTTCCTCTACTCACAGCCACACCACTTCATAGTTCTCAACATGACGTGAGAGTAATGTTGTACAATTTTTTGTAACGAAAATATAGAGAGAGTGTATCGCTGTTTGAGTTCTTATTGCAATCTTCTTCCCCTCCTGTTCTTTCTTGCCTGTAGATTTTAAGAGCCGTAGAGGGTGGATGGTGAATGGTGATAGTTAGCCGTGAATAATTGTATTCCTGTAGTTTGATATGAATATTATTAATATTCTAGTTCTAGAAACTAGAGCAGTTGAAAAAATAAATTATATTTTTTATTTCGGAATAATCAATCAAGATGCTACAAAACTATTAGCTTAATGAAAACCATGTTCATCGAACATGGTTTAATGCTTTAACTTATTAGTTTCCATCCTCAAAAGGCAAATTGCGAAGCAGTTGGCTTTTCAATGTTAACCATAATCCAAAGTGTAGATATAACCAATGCAGGATTAGTTTCAACTTAATTAGACCTTACCTAATCCTTAGGGATGTGTTTGGTAGCTACGATGGTTTGTTATCCGGGAATTTGGAATTTGGAATTTGGAATTTGGAATTTGGAATTTGGAATCTTAACTTGGTAAAAGATGATAGGAATCTGGGGTGTTTTAATCCTATTAAGGCAGTGTTTGGTACTTATTGTCTTCGAGATAGGGGGGCCCTAGGGGGATGGGGTATTCTTACCCGTTACACATTTGTGGGGGAAGTTTTTCAAAAGTAATCAATGAAGTGAAAAGGAATAATTAAGTAACATCCTTCTCTTCTAGGGAATTATAGAAGTCGCGCATAAGATTCTTGACTATTAGGAAAATCCTTGGTATTCAAGAAAACGAAAGTGATCACAACAGATGAAAAGAAGATAAGTGGTATATATTTAATTTAATATATTTTTTTATTTGTTTTGATTTAATTATTAAAATATAATATAAGTATAATTAATTAAATTAATTTTTATATTTTGTATGTATAATTATATTTTTAAGTTTATTTTCATTTATTTTAGACAAAAAATAAATTTTTTAATATATATTATATAATGTATTGAATTAGAATATATATCGATTAATATTCAAGATAAAATCATTTTCGATTCGGTAAGAAAAGTCTATATATATGCTAGAAGCCGCGTTCATATATTAATCGTAGCGTTGAAGCCAATGTTTCCTCCATGAATTGAATTTCACATCCATTAGACTTGTGATAATACAAGTTGACAATGAGGCAGCCACATACATAACACAAGAAGTCTTTATGTGTACATATGTATGTACAATGGTGGAGCCCGGATTTGAAATTAGAGGGGGCTGATTTATTGATATTTAAATTAAGTTTGTATTTAAAATATTATTTTTTTATCTATTTTAGTTATGTTAATTTAATTTTTATATAGAATTTGATTTGATGATTTTATTTAACAAATAGATAATAATTGAAATTTTTTATCTTCCCAAATATGGTATATGTTGAATATTTTCGGTTAGATCAAAAAAATTTTAGAAGTCATTAATTTGTTTATGTAAAATTATTAAATTAATTAACATAAAATTAATAAAATTGAGTAACGAAAAAGGAGTAAAAGAAATAATACATAATTGTAAAGCTGTAAATTTGTCATAAGTCTAGAATCAAACTTGACCATGTTTAATATATATAAATTATACTGTCATTTGAAATTTTTGGTTATTAATAAATAATTACCTTACTGTATTTGTGATAAAAATATATAATAACACATATCTAAAAATAATAATAAATTGAGAAACATATCAAAACTCTATATAGCAAATGATAAAATAAAACAAATAGATTTAACTTAATAATAAAATGTTTGAGTTAAATGTGAAGTTTAATATTTGATCTAAAAAAAAAAGATATTAGTAACCAAAATAAATATTTTAAACTAATTTTAGGTCTACAAAAACAATGATCTAAGGTTTTTCTTCCTTTTTTTTTTTTTTTGAAAAGGACAGAGAAATGTTAGAAATTCAAAAAATATTTTAGTAATTTTTTAGCCAAAAATATTCAGTATTAAAAGGTCATTTATAGTTAGTAGATTAGCCTTAAAAGATTACTAATTATTTATGTTTTAAATTTAATGACAAGATTTCTAAAATAATGATAATTATTTTCATAAATATTGAGAATAATTAAGTGAATAAAATAAATTTAAAGGATAAATTCTCCAAATTATAAAATTTAAAGATTAATTTAAAAGTTTTCAAAGGAGCATAGCCCCAGTCCCAACATGGCTCTGCCACTGTCTACATGCCTATTATTTATAGGTTAATTATGTAATACAAGACGGAAATTAGGCAGCCACACACAATATAAAAGAAGTCTATATGCGTAAACACGTACATATAATGTACCTATTATCTAATGCGTTATATAATGGAAGTCGACAATGAAGCATCCCTTGAAAAGCCAAAAAAAAAAAGGAAGTTACTATGCCAAGAGTTCACGAGCTTTCTCATACTAAATAAAAGCATTACCTTGCCGCATTAATGAAGGATAGGTATCATTTGTCATGTTTTTATATAGTACAAATTAAAGCCTAAAATCAGTTTTGGCAATTCCACCTCCACTAGCATAATGGACAGATTTTTATATAAAAAAACAAAATTAAGGTCAACAACAATTTCCATAGAAGCATATTCCATTTTAGCTTTCCTAACCATCATGAACGATCGACTGGCTTGCCATGGTAAACATCTATGCTTGCATGGCAGTGACCAGGTACATTAATCTAGTCGTGGCTCCTTTTTGGATATATAATGTCAAAGAGGCATTTTGGTTTAAAGAAAACTCGTCATTGCATACGTTTTTAGTAGTTTTATATTTAATTATAAGAATGATTAGTTAATATTGACCATTCATATAAATAATGCGTAATCAAACCATACAGCTGTAGTATAACTTTAAACACTTTCATTTTTTTATTTATGTGAACACAAAACATATTAAGAGATGAATATACCTAATTCTAATAATTTTAAGAACTTTCAAAGAATATGCCTTATAGACAAAATTTTAATTGCAGCTATTGTAGTCACTTTTTGTGATGCAGAATACACAACGCTAGTGTATTTATTCTAATATATTAACCATTTGTCTACATTACCATATGTAGTACTAGCAATTTCTATAGATCTCAAAGAAAATGTGTTATGGAACATTTTGTATGTTTTAGATTTAATGTGATTTGCAATGACAGTCTATGATGTAAGTTACAAAAGAATATGCGTTACAGGCTAGCTATCTATTTCTTTTGGGACTATACATTGTTTCTGCAATGACAGCAGCCCATGAGTTTCACAAAAAACACATTTACAAGTTTTGTTTCAAACTATTAATTATTTAAAACTGTTGTGACTGTAATGACCGTTTAATTTTAAGCGTTCATATAATTAAGAATAATATAAAACTAACTATTGATAATTCCAATAAATTAATTTTTAAAGGATATCCATCATAGAATATGCTTTAATTTGATTTTGTGGTGGAGGCAATGACCATCTAATTTTAATTGTTCTATTCTCAGAATGATTCCTTCGAGTCCTAAAGAATATCTTTTTCTTTCCTTTTCCTTTTATTTTATTATTTATTTATTTTTTGGTAAAATGGTTAGTGAAAGCTCACTTAATTGATCCAATGGCCCTGGTTCTACTAACACCCATCATATCAAATAATGCCAGTAATACTTACAAATATCATACAAAATATGTTTTCGAACCATTATAGTTGCAATTCAACATCTAATCTTAACCATTACTGTAATATAACGTGGGTATCACCAATATTACCGTGTCACCATTTTTCACACCAACTTTTATGAACATGAAACATGCTATACAATGCATAATAAGAGGTTTTTTTTTTGGTGATGTTAATACATAACAAAAGTTGAAGGAATATAAAGCCAATCTTGTAATTTATGAGAGCCATTACTTTGATAAGAAAAATCCAAGCCTAGTACAATGCACAAGTAGTAATCAAGGACCCACCTAGGAATATTCGGGTCCTTGGAAGGAATATTTATCCTTTAGTTTTATTTTAACTTTGCTATCAAATTTAATATATTATTTGAAATATAAATAATTATGGAGGTTATCATCTCGTTGTTCATGGTATCTTCTCTATTTGTTTAACTTATCTTCTTCTAGAGGCAGGGAATATAAAAGAAGATATTCTGGTCTGATCCTATGAATCTTGCCTTGTCAAAGATTCCATGTAAAATTCAGGTTACCATTAGATATTTGGGTTTAATTTAATCGACAGTTTATTAATTTTTGTTTTTTTTTTTGTTTCATCTATTATTTTTAAATATTTTCGGATTCATTTACTATCTTTTATTTTTATTTCAATTTAATTTAATATATTAACTTTTTAATAACAGTTTCACTCCGTTCGGTCAAATTGATTTTTAACCATATCTTTTATGAATTTTTATTCCTTGAAATTTTCACTTTGTTTGGATTCTTCTGAAGAACCCAGACATGGGTTCTCTTGGAGGAGGATGATGGAGGAAAGAGAGAGAGAGAGAGAAAAAAAAAAAAGAAAAAAAAAGAAAGAAAGAGGAAGAAGATAATGAATGAAGAGGATGGTAACGAAGTTAAGTGAAATTAACAGAAAATAACGAAAATTGAAGAGTGTAATAGAGTGTATGGATAAATTGAGTAAACTTATCATTACCCTTTGAAAATACATTACATTGATGTAGGATATATTTTTAAGATTATTTAATGAGATTAGTTTCCAAATGAATAAAAATTAATTTATGATATTTTAATTGTAAATACTAAAAAATATATGAGATTGATAAAAATTAAGATATTTTATTAATTAAAATATTTTTAATAAATTAACATATAAAAATTTATTAAAAATATTTAAATAACTTTACAAAAATTTATGACATTTAAAATATTAAAACTTTATGTAATTTTTGTTTTTCATTTTATATATACTACTAGTCTTTGTCTTTTAAAATATTTTTGAGGATGTGTCCCTCGGGGGAATCTAAAGGGCAAAGTGACCCTTGCTGTTCTTTAGGAGAGCCAATCACTTACTATTATATTAAAAATCATGGAGATAATGACAAGTTGGAATGCCAACATTTCCCAATGTGCCTAAGACACCGTGTTATTATATATAAACATTTACAATTAATTGCGTACGAATTCTTAGGATTATCTTTTCATAAATTGGAGCCATACTCAATATATGCACATGATTACTGATCCCTCATTAATACATTATACAATTGCTAGATTTGTATTTTTTATTTTTTTTTTGTTAGCAATTAGGTTTTTTAAAGTTAATTTATACACATCTCAAGACTAATCCCTTTTTGCCATCCATATTGAGACAACTAGAAAATTTATAAAGAATTATTTTCTCATTAGTTTCTTTAAAGAATGGAATCTTAATTAACAAAGTGGAAGCACAATTCTTTATCAACTAAGTCACGATTTCTTTTAAGTGTTGCTAAATTCATAATTACAGAAGTATTATTTGGATTTGAAACTATTTTTGTTTGTTCTTTTTAGAAAAATGATAACAATACAATGTTTTGCAATTTAAATTGCATCAATACAAAAACTGTGTTGTAAAAAAAATTAATTGTAATTTATTTATTATATAAAATTATCTAATTAAATTTTATGCAAAAGTCATACTAAAATAACCAAATCAAACCAGATGGAATACTCGTTATCAAATTAGGGGAAAGCTTGTCTCAGCAATCAGGAAGCCATGCTAGTTTGATGGTTAGTATTTTGTAGCGAAACACCTCTTTTGAAAAGATAAAGTTTCTTCCTATATATTGGACCATTCCCTTTCTTCTTCATAAATATATTTTTTTCAAACCATACTTTAATGGATTAAGAATGCATTAATTGTATATTTTTTTATTAATTATTATAAAAATTATCTAATTAAAATAATACACGTCATTGGTATTAAAAATAAATTTAATTTTTGTATTTTTATATAAATCAATAAAAATATGCAACAATGTACCTTAATCTGTGTGCGACAAACCCTTATCAAGATGAGTTATCTAATGGTCAAAGAAATTAAGAAAAATGATTTTTGAAATTAATTAACAGGAAATTGAATTAACTTG